TTCAAGGTGTCCGGTGAATCTGTCGTATTGGCTACTGGAGTGAGAGAGCCTAGTGGACCCTGGGAGCCTGTAGTTATGTTGTTTCGTAAATGTTGTAAAGGTCAGGGGGCTAAAGGGACACTGGAGGGGTGATCTTAGCTCTGTGAACTTTCTCGCACCAGCAGGAAAAGCAAGAAAAGAAGTAGAGTTCCCAAGTACAAAGAGAGGGTAATCCCTGAGGTAGGGAGAGCGGAGCTGAGCTGGGAGGGTAGACCCGAGTTTGGAGAAAGGAGAATGTAGCAGAGATGGTATTTCAGCAGAGAAGTTGGGTTTCAGAAAGCAGTGCCATCTGTGAGGACTGAGAGAGATTTTGAGGGAATCCTGACCTATTTTCTACACTGCCTTTTGCAGTCTCCAGGTGAAGCCTACATACCCATCAGGTAAAAGCAGCAGTCAGGGGTGTCACATGTGATTCAGCAAATTCTGTTCCCCAGAGCTTTTAATTTCACCCCCCACCCCTTCAAGCCCTTCTTCAAAATATGTAGTGAGGCTCTTACTTGCATATGCAAATTTGGAAGTTTTCTCTATCAGTATTTGTTCAGTTGTTATTCGGCCCTCTGCCCCTCGTATTTCTTTGGAGACTGTCCTTGCCTGTGGTTGGAGAGTGCCAGCACAACAGGAGTCTTGTTGCGTAGGTGCAAATTCTCAGTCAGCAGTTCCCACTTTGTGAATGGGCTAATGGTGGGAAGAGGAAGCTGCTGCTCAGAGCGGAGCTGAATTAGGGGACTTCTGGTCAAGGGGCTGGACCCTCTGGTCAAGTAACTGGGAGGCCCTCACAAGTGGTTTTTGTAAGAGATGCATTAGAAGAGAGAGGATGAAGTGGGGCAGATTTTGAAACCGAACAGCCAAAGAGTATCGTATAAAAGGGGGGAGGGTGGGTCAGGCCCCTTGCAGTTCAGCTGGGGAGATGGTGGAATCTGGTGTAAATCCCAAAGGATGAGTTTTGTCAGCACTTGCAAATAGGAAGGTGGAAATGGTGCAGGAGCAGGAGTGAGTGTTGAGATGCTTCCTCCCCAAAGCTGTGTCCTGTGTTCCCCTTTTTTCTGGTATGGCTCTGTTCTGTCAAACCTCTTGTTTCCTCTTATATTTTGTAAAGCCTCCCCCCAGCCCTTATTCCCTGTTTACCAGTGAAGGGAACCAAGATAACACATCATGGCCGCTTGACAGACCTGGGGCGGGGGAGCAATAACCTCTACTCTGACTGCAGGAAGGTGGGGAACTGGCATTGCTTTTTAAATTTGCTGTAGGGATAAACCAATTGGATCTTTGTCAGGGAAGTGGACAGAGTCTCATTGTATTGGGGGGGGGGACTTTTTTCTTTTTTTTTTTTTCTTTTTTTTTTCTTTTTTAAGTGTGTGTTTGGGGGGGGAGTTCGTCATTGAGTGTTTCCAAGAGAAATGAGGAATCCCAGAGCCAACTTCAATACGGGGTCAGCTGTTATCTCTGCTGCCTCAGGATGGGAAAAATACAGCTTGGAAGCATGTGTGATGGGTTTCTGTGGAAAGTGGCACCGGAGACAACCACGAGAGACAACCTCTGGTAGGTGCCAGTTAGTGCTTTGCAGAGGATGTTACTGAGACCCGGCCCTGTGGAAGTCTGAAAACACCAGAAGAAAAACAAACCGAGATGGCTCCTTCTGCGTATCCAAGTGCTCCTCATTTGCATATTTGCCTCATTTTGCGTATTAAGTTGTGCCTCATTTGCATATGTAAATACATGCCGGTCAGTGTGCAAATTAGCCTCGTTCCTCTGCCCCTGAAATAAATGTGCATTGTTAGTGCGTGGGAAGGCATCGGGTGGGCGGGTGTGGAGCTCTGCAGGGCCTGCGAGTACTGGCCTGCAGGGAGGGGAGGGATGCCGGCCTGTCCCGGAGAGGGGTTCTTGCAGGCCCCTCCAGCGCGGTGTGGCCCCCGTGCTTTGTGTCAGTGGTCAGGGAGAGAGGGGCGTGGTCTCACGAGTTTATTTTTGTGCATGCTTTCTTAATAAAAAGAAAAAGTGAATGTTTATGGTTTAACTCTTTTGGTGCCAGTATTGAATTTTTTTTTCAGCGGCGCCCCTCAGGTGGGCTCGGTTCCCACCTACTTACCTTAGAAACAGAATTTGGGTGTGGACATCGCTAAATTAACAGCCTGCACCTATACATGTACTTTATGACTGGGACTTTCTAGGATGTGAAGAGAAAGAGTCGAAAGTTTTCACAGCTGGCTATTCTCAGGGCACTGAGATCAGCGAGTCTTTCAACTCGTGCTCGCCAGAAAGGCAAAGTGAAAAATATACCAATGCTTAGTGGCTGTTTGTCATACCGTTTGTTGACCGTACTCCTTTAAGGAAGGACTAACACAAAAAGCAGATTTTAAACCACTTCCTTAAAGTACCTCATAAACGTACTTCAGCTTTTCAGGAGCAGGGAATATTCAAGCTTGGGAAACACCCCCAAATAGCTTGACTGGATGAAATTTTTATCTTCCTCCCCCAGAAAGGCATGAGAAGCACATCTCTTGTAGAGAGCAGGACATGACTGTGCCGCAACAGGCTTGTTCCTCACCTTCTTGGGGTCAGACTAGAGGTTATCACTTCTCAATTCCAAGGTTTTACCAAATGGCCGATAGTCCAGCAGCCACCTAATCTGGTCCGTCAATGACTGCAGTTGCTCAAGTTCTGCTCGTGTGCCGTCTTAAAATGCAGTGGGTACATTTGGATAATCTTGGACTACTTCCTAAAAGGAAGATTTGGGACTCCGATGATGGAGGGAGTGTTGGGGAGGCTGTGGGTGAGTGCACGCTAACTAATATGGCTACATAACTGGACCAGTTACTACCGTACAGCGATGCATTTGCTGGGACAAAGAAATACCTTGGGCATCTGCCAGGGCATGAAAGTCAGTTCAAAGCAGCTGACTGGGACAAGTGCTGTTCTAACGCACTGCTGTAAGAAAACATAGCGCTACCCGCTAGGGAAATCTTCAGAAAAAAAACCCTCAGACCCCAAGTATAGCCAAAGGAGAGGAAGGATGGGATGGCAGAATCCAAGGAGAGACATCAAAGTTAGTTTCATCTGCAATTTATCAGACGGGAGATGTAGAACATAGACATATGCAAGTAACTCTAATAACATTCTCATCTAGCAATTCAGAGGTTAAACTACATGATCCCACCACAAATCATTCTGCAAGCCTGCTTTCTTCTTTAAAGGTTAAAGTACTCTGTCTCTCCTGCTTCACCAGAATCTTCCCTCAGATTTATTACCCTTGGTACTTCCAACTTTCCATCTCTCTGGAGTAGGATGTAAAGGGGCTTAGCCGTTCTGATCTGAACCGTCTCAGTGCCCTGTGTGTGGATCTGCAGATTAATCAAATGTGTTGCAGCAAAAAAAGCTTTTAAGTGGAGACTGATAGATGTGCTGGGCCATAGCTCACTCTTTCTACAGCGGTGATCAGAAGGCCTGCATTACACTGTGCTGCTAACGTCCTTCTCTGTGGAAGTCTTGCTTCTGTCAAGGGAGTAAGGGATTGAGTGCGTTGGCTCCTCGGTAAAGGTGCCTTCCAAGATTCTTTGCACTGATTGCTGTGTCTTTGCCCTGAAGTCCCGCCCCACAAAAACATAGAGCAGGGGGTTGATGCAGCTGTTGGCATATGCAAGTGCTGTAGAGAGGTGATCCCAGAGGATCAATGACTCCCTCAGCCCTCTTCCAAGAGTAGGTACGAGGCACAGAATCCCAACTACATGGTATGGAGCCCAGCAGATGAAGAATGCGGCTACCACGAGCACAATTGTTCGCAGCATCCTGTTGTGAAACTGATTTGCACGCATTCTGAAAGCAATAAGGGCATAGCAAACTGCCATTATGCCAAAGGGGAGTACAAAGCCAAAGACAGCCCTAGTGATGTTTATCACCATTAAGGCAAGGGATACAGAATAATCACTTTCATAGAAATTTCCCCATGAGTCGTTAGCATGGTAGGCTAAAGATGAGTATTTTTCCAGTAACTCGTTTACAGAATCATCCATATAATCTAGCACTTCGTCATCTCCAAAATTGTATCCACACTCAGTTTTGCCATCATGAGTGCTAGTCTCACGGTAGTTAAAGACAGGACAGCAGAAAATGAAGGCCAGGATCCAAATGCCACAGCATATTAGTGATACCAATTTCACTGTTCGATGATTTTGACACCAGACAGGTTTCATCACAAGGAGGCACCGGTCAATGCTGATGGCCACGAGTAGGAAGATGCTAGCAAACATGGTGAAGATTATGACTGACGGAATGACTTTGCAGAGGAACAAACCATACGGCCAGTGTTCGTGGAGGGCCAGGTGAACAATGGAAAATGGCAAGGACAAGCAGCACATGAAGTCAGCCACAGCAAGGTTTAAGAACCAGACAATGTTCACAGACCTTTTCATTTTCAGACCAGCTACCCAGATCACCAATCCATTGCCGGGGATACCTATGATGAAAACGATGATGAAGATAGCAATGGAGACAATGGATTCTGATCCATGATATACAGCAGCCTGTTCATGTGAACTGCTATTACCCAGGAGGCGAGGCATTCTGTAACTATAAAACACAAAGCAAATTAGTAGGCAATTCTCACCCTCCTGCCCAAATTCTTCTCTTTATCTGTACTGAAGCATCTCTAAGTCAGGTGACAGTACAGAGCTGTCAGGGTACAAAGGCATCGGTCTATACAAGTTTGTGCTGAAAGCTTACTAATCTGACCATGATACACCTTCAGCATTCTTATGGTGGCTAAGCTACATAAGCCCCACTATTCAAACAGGGGGTTGTATACACTTAAGTTCTCCTATCTGTCATCCCCTTTGATTTCAGTCTGGTTCTTTTTAGCCTCCACTCTGAAGTGGAGCTCTCCATTCACACGCCCACACTATCACCAGGTGTCTTTTCCTGATTGACTTCCAGCTTTGTATACACTTCTCTTCCTCAGAAAGCTAAGTCAGCATTTTAGTTCCTTTTCCCTTTAAAATGAGTGATTTCTTCTGGCCTAACCAGTGAAATAGGTTTAGGCTGAGAAAGCAATGCTTGTCTTTTGTGAAATAACCCTTCTCCACTTTCTGGACATTATAAATAGAACAGCCAGGACAGCAACTCTGTCTGCTAAGGGGTATTTTTAGGGAAGTCTCAATAAGCACTTCCTTCTCCCTGCTTTTGTTCTGAGCTCTCTGCTGGTTCCTTAGAAAGCTAGTCTCGATGAGGAGAAAGGCAAGAAATGAATGGTTTAAGAAGAACAGACAGAGATTTAGTTGTAGAAAGAAAAAACACAGAGTAATAGCAGTAATGTTCTTGAGACGTTTTAGATATAAGAAAAGGTGCCTTATTGCAAGACTATGAAGCTGAGCCACAGAATACTTAAGTGACGTTTTAAAACTATGAGAACAGTAGTGGAAACACTTTAATTGCTCAATTATTCTTGGATTTGGATATTAGTACATTTAGAAAGGAAAGCAAAGGAAATCTAGCAAAGTCGAGATAGAACTGAGAAAAAGAGCCTGATCTTCATCCTTTAGGCATTAATAGAATTGCTTATAAAATCCCTGTTAACTAAACCCTTACTGAATCAATGAAGACAGTTGTGTTGCTGAAAGGTCCCTAAAAGCATTACCAGAACGCAAGGAAACTGCATAGGTAAGAGCTGAATACAGCCTGCAGAAGCAACCGAGGAGACGTGAATAAGACAACCCAGCGTGATTCTATTTTAACCTCTGTTATGCCAGTACTTAAATGCCAGTCAGAGACTGTTGTGTGCAGGACTAAATAGCAATGATTTAAAAAAAATATTCCAAATCATCAATGTCTTTCTTGCATAACATATAGTCTAAATGTGGAGCGATGCATAAGTGTTAGAACCGCTTCACCACGAAGAAACTAAGATAAACAGTTGTGACAAACATTGTAATTCATCACTTTTTGGTAAGAATTGCTTCTTAGCTTTTAGCTAAGGCTTTTAGCTGAGGGTGACCTGCAAGGAAAGCTATGAAATAAGTTACTGGAAGGCAGCTGGGGACTTAACTTAAAATTCTAACAAGTTTGTTCCTTTCCTGTGGTCTTGCTGATAAATGCAGAAGTGACTTTTACAGGGAGAACTGGAGAACAGTGCTGCAAGAGCTGAATCTTGTTGCCTCCCCATATAGCTACAGAAGATGGTATGAAGAGGACAGGGAATGAAGGAATGCTGTACAGACAGTAATACAAATCCTATTCCAAAACCAACTGAGGAATCAATCAATAAGAAGATACTGCCCACGCTATGTTTTCAAGAGTGCTAAAAGGGCTGCTATGTGGTTATGAAGATGGAAGGGGGAACTAGAGGGGAGAGAGAGGTTTTCAAGAGTGAAGAATAAGAAATTGCAAGTTGAAGAGGAAAGCAGAATTCTGCAGCTTGTTATACCTACCCGAGTGAAGCAGATATTCCGATGTGTCAGGGAGCAAGTACCATCAGTCCTGTCTCTGGAATGACTGAAAAAGGAAACTCACAAGACATTTTAGGAACTGCTTTTTTCCTGTATGTGCACATGTATGCTAAGTATGTCCTTTTACCCTGGCTTAGGATGACTCACATTTGAAGTTTTAGATATGATCTGCTGATAAAATAAACAAACAGTCAAACCAAAAGAAGCTGACTCAACACTGTCAAAATAAAATAGTGCCCTGAGTCAAAGAATAATAGGACGCAAGGGAACGATAGGCACAGACACATACTTTACCATAGTTTCTATAAGGCAACTGAATCAGATGTCTTGCCTGTTGGCATAACGCTGACCTTTGCTTGATGTGATCCATAATTCCAAACCCTGCCATGCCACCATCAGGTATCTGATCTGTTGTCTTGTAGCCACTTCCATGGTTTATCAGATCAGCACATTCACCTAGCTAATCCCATTTCTGGGATTCTTATCAATCCAGATCAGCTTCTGTCCCAGCTTGAGACAGCTTAGATCACCAAATACAGAACATTGTACTCAGCAAACCATAATTGGTCATGTCAAAGGGACTGTAATCTGATTTTTGACCTTTCAGGGTATTTAAAGTTTTGTGTTGTGTTTTTTTTTTAAAGAAGGAACTTGACTGATGAAAAGTTAGATGTGGTTAACGGAAATGCTGATAGCACAAAATGTCGCAAGACATCTAGGGCGAGGCATTTCAAATGTGCAACTAATAGGGTTCCCCCTCACGCCCCCCAGTTTGGGAAATCAAGACTGTGAGCAGAAATGACAAAGCCCAGACAGAAAAGAATCAGCCTCAGTATTTTGGTTTTGGTCTGGAAAACGAACCAGGACGGAGCAGAGTTCTGCTCCTGAGCATGTCTCTGTGAAACACACGAATGCTGCCTCCAACACAAAACCCACAAAACCAGAAACAGGAAGGCAGGCCAGGGCTGGGCTGTGCCCCCAAAGATAGGCAGGCTGTCAGCAGCCTGCCGGGAAAATTCCTCTAGCTGCACCTTCTTCTCAGCTGCCATCTTCCCTGGGGGACTCCTCAGACCCAGACAGAAAGTGTTGGCAGGAGGGTACTCCTATTGGCTCCTGTTGGCCAAGGGACACACAGCCTTTTCACCACCATATGCCTCGCTAGCTCTAGTCAAACTCTCCTTTGCAAGAAGGTCCTTCTCCACCAGTTGGCCAGCTCTGATCCTCCCAGTTAAAACCTCTCCCCTGCAGCCAACCTTGACACAGCAAGCACTTTATCTTTAGTCCGGCCAGCTCACCCGGGACGGTGATGAGATGATGCGGTACCTGGTATAGTTTTCCAGATCAATGAACCTTTTAAGCAGCTTGACTAGTGAAGCGTTTTGCACCTCAGCATAAAGGGCCTAATGATGTAGACGCTCAAAGGACATGGTGCAAGGAGGAAAAAAGAGATTTTGTTACTTTCATAAAATTGTTTCTTAGATCAGACCAGACCTTTGACTTGCAGCTTTGTCGGTAATCCCAAATCACCACACTGCATTCTCTTCCTCACGTCTGGATCTCTCCCGTCTCCCTATGATAAACAGACTGAGTTAGCTTAGAAAGTCTCTAATTCACACAATCACTGAATAGCTGAAGTTGGAAGACTGACTGGAGACTGACTAGCCCAACCCCACTGCTCAAAGCAAGGTTGGCTAGACAAGATTGCCCAGGACCGTGTCCAGTCAGGTTTGAGTATCTCCACAGAAAGAGACTCCACAAACTCCCCGGGAAACCTGTTCCAGTGTTCAACCACCCTCACGGTAAAAAACTGTTTTACTGTGTTCAGATGGAACTTCCTGTATTTCAGTGTGTGCCCATTGCCTCTTGTCCTGTCACCAGGCACCACTGAGAAGAGTCTGGCTCCATTGCCATTAAACACTCCCATCAGACAGATGATAAGATCCTCCCGAGCCTTCTCTTTTCCAGGCTGAACAGTCCCAGTTCTCTCAGCCTTTCCTTGCATGACAGGTGTACCAGTCCCTTAATTACCTTAGCGGCTCTCCACAAGTTTCACTCCACTATGTCCCTGTCTCTCTAGTACTGGGGAGCCCAGAACTGGACCCAGCACTCTAGATGTGGCCTCACCAGTGCTGAGTAGAGGGGAAGGATCACCTCCCTTGACCTGCTGGCAACAGTCCTCCCAATGTAGCCCTGACAGCTATTGGCATTCTTTGCTGCGAGGGTGCATTGCTGGCTTATGTTCAGCTTTTTGTCCACCAGGACCACATCATCATTCTCTGCAAAGCTGCTTTCCAGGTGGTCAGACCTCAGCACGTAGTAGTGCATGGGGTTGTTCCTCCCCAGGTGCAGGACTTCCACTTCTTGCTGACCTTCATGAGGTTCCTGTCTGCCGAATTCTCCAGCAAGTCCAGGTTCCTCTGAATGGTACCACAGACATCTGGTGTGTCAGCCACTCCTACCAGTTTTGTATCATCTGCAAACTTGTTAAGGGTGCACGTTGCTTCATCATCCAGGTCATTAATGGAGTTAAACAGTACTGGAACCAGTGTCAACTGCAGCTGGACAGCACTAGTGACTGGTCTCCCGCTGGACTTAGTTCTTCTGATCACCACCCTCTGAGCCCAGCAGTTCAGCCACTATTCACTCCACCCCACTGTCCACCTATCTAGCCCATACTCCATCAGCTTGTCTATGAGGATGTTCATATTGAAGTTTATCTTGATGTATAGACTCAACTGGCCACCACGAGTTGGCTAAAACCTTAATGCAAGTTACCATTCATACTGCTGTTTCAGGTTTGGTATTACAAAACTGCACCAGTCTATCAGTTACTAAATAGTTACACCCATATACAATTCAAAAATGTGATCAGTATATTTACAAAAGCCTCCGTCCTGCAACAGTATGCAGGTTGTCTCCAAAACACTTTGGTGAGAACTGACAATTCCACTTGTATTTTATATTTCTACTACTTCTTCTGCCATTCTACAAAGCTTTGCAGCCCCTCTCAGATCTCCCATTCATTTCTCTG